AAGTCAGAAGTGCAGTTGGAGAGGAGTTGTGATTAGAGGCTTAAGCGGCTAGGACTGATAGAAGCATGTGTGTGCCACTTTCCTTCCACATCATCGATGGCTAGGCGATTGTGGGCCAAGAAATAGTTGTACATGCGGGAGAAAGAAACTTACTTTCCCTAAAAGACTTCGATAATTTTAATAACTATAATACCTCTTATTTATAACAAAGATTTATCATGATGACATCACTTGATAACGACATTAGAATATTTATTTCAATCTCTCTCATGTAGACAGATAACCAACATGGGTTTGAATCCTCATAGAGCCAAAACTCATATTTTTATCTGATTATTGTGACTTTCTTAATCGTCGGTAAATGATTAAGTCGCTAGAATCACTAGATCATCAGTAAAAAATTTGTCAACACGATTCACGAAGTATTATTACTAAAATTGTTAAATGATTCATAATAAAAGGATTGTGAATTCATCAAGTAAATCATCTCTAATTGATTGACAAATAAGTTGTCGTCGAGAAAAAGATGATCTACTAAGAGACAAGCCACCATCTCTTGAGAGCATACTAGATGTGATGAAGAGTCTTTTCTTGCTGCACAGACCTGAGGATGAAGCTCCCTAACACGCACCCCACTTCCATCCAACTTATTTCTGTCGAGTGACAGATGTCGGAGAGCCTCAAAGTTATTATTTTTCTACTTCACCGAGTGATAGCCACCGAAGATAATTCGATGACCCATTTCATTGATGTCTAAACTTCACAAGGAGATCTAAACATTGTCCACGTCATCATTGTCCAAAGAGAGCCTTTGAGGCCATAAACATTACATGATGATCCTCTCAAATGCTTAGAATTCTGGTGCATCATCAATGCATATCACCATGACGCCAGAACTTTATTTTTTTACTTTCAACTTAATTTTTACTTCATTTAGTGATCATTTATGTGATTTAAATTTATCATGCTATACTTCATTCAATTATGATTCTTTCAACTTTTATAAATCTTAATTTGATCAATTAAATCGTCTATAATAACTTACATAAGAATTATCAAGCAAAACTCTATTTCCATTTGATTCGTATTCGCCAGATGCTAACATCATCTTGATGTCCGCACCCTTATTTCTCTTTTTCATAAATTTTAAATATATTTTATTTTTATTTTCTAGTATAAAATTTATAAAAAATAGTATTCTTTAAGGAAAATTTTGAATAACTACTTAATATTATATTACATCTCTAACTTGAAAAATTATCATTATTTTTTAAAGTTTTATTAAATTATAATAGATATATTTGTTAAAAAATACTTCTAAATATCTAAAAATTCATATTTTCTAGTTTTATAAATTTTAAATTTGTATGATTTATTATATAACTACTAATTCAGAACATGGGACACATGTGCGTCACTCCCATTACACATCACTAGTGGCCAATTGAGAATGGGGTAAAGAGTGTCGTACACACTTGAAAATTGACTCATTGATTCTTAAATCTCGTATTATTATATCTTCATCTCAAAATTTAACATATAACTAATGTGAGATTAAATCCCAATCACTCCTTCTATATAATGATTTTATAAAAAAAATTGTACCTCAAATACCCTTTGTTCATCAGAAGGAGATATCTTGATGATGTCATTTCATAAAAGTATTTACATACTTATTTCACTTCTTTTATATAGGCGAACAACTAATGAGGGTTCGAATCCTACTAGAATCAAAACTTATATTTTTATCTTATTAAATTACAATTTTTTTACAGATCGCCGATGAATGATTAAGTCGTCAAAATCACTCAATTATTGATAAAATTCTTGTCAATTGATTTGTAAAGCATCGTTACTAAATTTATTGAATGATTTACGATAAAAAGATCATAAATTTATTGAGTAAATCATCTCCAATTGATCAACAAATAAATCATCATAAGAAAAAAGACTACCTACTAAGAGATGAGTCATTACTTTTTGAGAATGTACTAGATGTAATGAAGAGCCTCCTCTTATTACATAGACTTGAAGATGAAATTCCTTAAGACACACCTCACCTTCATCTAACTTATCTACATTAAGTTACAACTGCATGAGAGCTACAAAGTCGTCATTTTTCTATTATGTCAAGTGATAGTCGCTCTAATTTGATGACTCATTTTATTGATATCTAAACTTCACAAAAAGATCTAGAGACTGTCCACATCATCTTTATCTAAGGAGAGCATTTGAGGCTGTGGATTCTGTATGGCAATCTTCTTAAACACTTAATATTTCAACACATCATCAACGCATTGATGCCACAATACTAGAACTCTATTTTATTATTATTTTTATTGATTTAACTTCTACTATTATTTTATGGACTTCAAAAGGAGATCCAAAGAATGCCTAGGTCGTCTATATTCAAAGAGAATCTTTGAGGTTGTAGACATCATTCAATGATCTTCTTAAATACGTAGAATTCTGACGATCATTGTCGTGAGGCTAGAACTCTACCTTTTCTATTTTCAATTTAATTTTTACTTTATTTAATGATAATTTATGTGATTTAATTTTTTAAACTATTTTTTATTCAATTATGATTCTTCTCACTTTTACAAATATTAATTTGACTAACTAAAGCATTTGTAATCACTTATGTAAGAATTATCAGTATATAACTCTTTCACCTAATTCACATTCATTGGGCATATATTATTTTTATTTCTTAATCTAAATTCATAAATAAATCCTATTCTTTACAAAAAAGAATTCTAAAATATTACCTAATATCACATTACATCCACATAATTAATTTAGAAAATTGTCACTATTTTTGAAATTTTTATTGACTTATAATTGATTTATTTATTCTAAAATATTTCTATATATCTGAAAATTAGTACTTTCTAATTTTTCAATTTTCTAATTTGTGTGATTTATTATACAATGACTAAGTAAGGTTAGTAAGTTTCTTGAAGAGATGAATTTGTAAATAAAAAATAAAACTTGAAGAGAAAGATAAAGAAATATTGATATTAAGATAAAAGATAAAGGAGGGTTTTGAAGAAACCTTAGAACTAGTTCAAGGTGAGAGTTTAAGAGTGCCTCTAGCTCTCCTATTGACTTCTTCCCAAAAAAATACTCACCATTATAGCCTCCTTAAGTTCCTTATCACATTGCTTAATAGGTTCTCAATCCATCTACCTTTGGTTCTCCTATGTTTTATCTTTTCAAACATCTAACCAATGGGCTTGGTATTAGGCCTATTGCAAACACATAAAAACATCAATGAAAAATGGAGTTAAGCATCAAAAATAAGATAAGGTTCTTCTACATCTGAACGAAAAGATTTACAAAATCATAAGTAGAGCAAATTATACCAAGGGTTGGTGCTACACTTTGATGTAACCTTGGAAGTTGTGGGCATGGTAGGCAATCTAATCTATCAACTCAACCTCTTTGAAAAAACTAATGATTCATTTAATCTTTCATGTCTCACTAAAAGTATATAACATAGAGAAAGATGATTGAACAAGGAACTGTCCTTCAATAGGTACCACCAATAATGATGTCTAATTTTCCATGAAGGTAAAGACAATCTTAAATTAGGAAAAAGAGAGTCACGTCACATGTTTCCACACAAACTACTGTTTACTTATTAAGTGACCATGAAGGCCAAAAAAAAATGACATAAGGATACAACATCTAATAGCTTGAAAAAAATTATCAATAGGGGCTTTGAGAAACAACATCTGATAAGTATGTTTTTTACACATGAGGGAGGATTTGACAATCCCAACCCAAAGGGGCATGGTTTTGGGAGCAGATTCACACTACTAACATAAGCGTGTCATGGTGGTCCCATTCATGCACACGTAGATGAGTATGTCAACACATTGCAATACAATGTTGTGTACACAAATATACACCACAGTGGCACATGTACATGCATGACATGCACTAAGGCATGTGATAGCATGGACACAATCATGTGAATTGACCAAATATATGATATAAGTTGAGCTTGTTCTTCAACTCAATGTCCAAAAAGAAGTAGACTTATTCAATATGGTCCTTAAAAGCTGCTCAAGTACAAAGTTAGCAGGCATATGGGGACGAGCTAAATCCTAAGTAGATAAATAAATACTAAACTATATAATATTTTTTTTAGATAATCAAAATTTTTGAAATAATCTCTCACTGAGGAATGGCACCATTGAGCCCTATTGGGCCTAGTAGGAGCTTATTTCATTGTTCTTGGACATGTATGAGGCTCGGCCCCAAAAAAAACAAGAAAGCCCGAAAAGGGTACCATCCATCCATTCATCCGTTCAACGGGCCACGGCATACCACGTGGCACTAAAATTTCATCTTATCCGGTTGACACTTTCCGATTGGATCCAGCTAACATCACGTGATTGCAACTACTAACTACCCCTGCCTTGCAAAACGGATGACTCGAATCACGTGATCGAATCCGACGTTGACGCATTTTATGGGAAGTAAACGACAGATTCTCTTTCTCCCTCTCTCTCTCCCTCTCTATGTTTATGCTTATATTGCTCCCCCTCTATTTAGTATCGTAAGAGGAATAAGGAATATAATCTTAAAGACGTCTAGATTCTGAGTATGACTCGGTATTGATATCCCATAATCTTTAGATGGACTCATTCTTTACACTCCGCGCGTTCCCGTCCTCGGCTTGGCTGGGTGCAATGAATCGGGTCGTATTTCCACTTTCTCTCGCTCAGCTATGAACCTGGACGATTCTCCCGCCAGATTCTACAAAGGCTGTCCGCCCTTCTGCATGAGGTACGCATTTTACTGAACTCGGACGCGTCTCTGTCGTCTGATGCGGGAAGGGGGGAGATCGAACGGTAGAGATTTGGTGGATGGGGAGTTTCGTCGTCTAGTGCCACGTCGGTGCCGCCATCGTGGACAATAGTCGTAGGCTTCGGTATATAAACGGAGGCATCCTGTACTGGTGGGAGGATAATACCTTCTGCTGCAAGATGGAAGGAGGAAGGGGGAGGCACAAGAGGGTGATGGCGCCGCTGGACGAGGCGGCGAGACTGAGGCTGTGGGGGATTCCTGACGTTGGCGATGGCAAGAGGAAGATGGATCGGCCGGTAGGGGAGGAAATCTGGCCGGAGCTGGCGGAACTCGTTGGCTCGTTCTACGGCGAGGAAGGAGACGTCGCCTTGGACGAGAGCCTCACGGTGAGGCGGCGGCGGAGCGAGAGGGAGCGCTTGGACGCTCTGGTCGCCGCTGCGAGATGGGATCAGGAGGGGAGCAGAATAGTTGCCGAGGCGGAGTCGGCCTGGCGGAGCATCGACAGTGATGGTGATCCGGCAGAGGGAGACGCCGGATCGAAGAGGCGGATGATGCGGTGGCTTCGCGAGAGCGGCTTTGACGCAGGTGGGACGATCCTCTTTCCCTCTCCCTCTCTCTCTCCTCTGCAGTCGATCGAAATTGCGATCAGATCCGAAGAAATGATAGTGTAATTGCGGATAAATTTTGAATTCGACCGTCTGGAGTTGCGGCAAAATTCTGATCGGCGGTGGCGTGTGTTTCCCCAGGGCTCTGCAGATCCCGGAGGGACGAAACCGAGGAACTGGCTCCGGTGGCGCACGAGTACATCGACGTGATATGCGAAGGAGGCGAGCGGTACATCGTCGACTGCCACCTCGCGGCCGAGTTTGAGATTGCGCGGCCGACCCCGCACTACCAGTCGCTCCTCGGCCTCCTGCCGGAAGTCTTCGTCGGCGACTGCGACTCCCTCAGGGACGTGGTGGCCCTACTGTGTGCCGCCGCGGGGGAGTCCATGCGCAGTAGGGAGATGCACGTCCCCCCGTGGCGGCGAGGCCGGTACGTGCAGGTGAAGTGGTTTGGCCCTTACCGGCGCAGCACCACCACCGGCCAACGGCTTCCCAAGGGGTGCAACGACGCCGCTCGGAGAGGGGCGGCCGGAGGCGAGGTGGCGATGCCGACTCTGAGCGCGAGTTATTGCAGGCCAGCGTTGGCACGGAGAACGGAGGGATTGGAACGCAGCAGGAAGCTGGCCGTGGGATTCAACGGCGGTTGCTTGTGACTAGAACTAAGTTCTTCTCTCTATGTTTAGTCTGCCCTTCTTTATCTCACTCTTCTGCCATGAATTTTTTTTGCAGAAGAGAGAGAGAGAGAGAGAGAGAGAGAGAATCTTCTTCGTCCTCTCCTCTTCTGGTAAATTCTACTGTCGGTACTGCGATTTCTACAAATATAGTTGATTACATGAAGAACGATTTTCTCACGTTGTTCATCTGGCGATCATCTGGGGGCATCAACAAACAGCCTGCTCTATCTTTCCTTATGTCGGGCACAGTTGACCTGCGCATCCGTCTCATGTCGGACATAGTTGACCTGCAATCTCCGGCCGATGAACTCATTATCGATCCTATACGACATCAGTTACATCAAGGCAACAGTTTTCTTAATCTTTTCCGAGGAAGTGAATCCAGTTATGCACCAAAATTTTTCCACATTACACGAGCCACCTTACTACTTCAGCTGCCATTCGGTTAATATTAATCAGGCCGTAAAAATTATAATACCTCGAAATATTCTAAAGTTCATCGCTGAAGTGTAGAATCGACCATTCCTTTTGTTGAATTTCTCCTGAATCAATACCAAGAACTTCTTCGAGTATTAATCTACTGTTAAAAATTCACGACTCAATTTCGACATTTAATGTACATTGCTGAATAATTTGTTTCACTTTTTCAACCATCTCATTGAACCAAGTTCATCACTAGCGAGATTGGTCAACAGCAAGATCTTACTTGTAACAACCAATCATACTAGCCGTTAATCGGCCCTATTTTTTTTTTATTGAGTGAGTTTGAATATTATTGTATTCAATCTCTGGTACGAATCGCTAGTATTCTCTTCAAAATTCTCTGGCAGATGACTTTACCTGCTTTTACTAAAAAACAAAAGTCAACTTCAGAAACAGTGGGAAGAAAACGATATGGAAATAATTTCGGAACAAAAATAAAGAAAAAAATTACGACGAGAGATGTACCGAAGAATACCTTCACTCTGTACAAAATAAATCAAACGAAAAAAACTAATTCCAAGAGTGTTGGATTTTTCTCTGCGTACAAAATGAAAAAACAAGAAAGAGTGGAAATAAACGTAAAAAAAGACATCAGAAACATGGTATAGATTATAGAGACTCATAAAAGTACTTCATATGGTCACTGTATGGGAGAGAGAGAGAAAGAGAGAGAGAGAGAGAATCTGATGGAGAAGGGGACAGGTGATTGATGCGAAGAAATGAAGTGTGGATTAAAGATCTAGAGAGCAGGAATAGAACGGCGACGGCGGCTGTAGGCATCGATAGACGCAACCAGCGGAGATAAAAATCGCAGGTGCCTGGAAGAAGCCTGACGCATGAAGCATCCTTCGTGTGCGAGGAGGGCGGCTAAAAATGCGTACGGCGTGACGCCATCCCCTCTTCGCCCTCCTCCAGCGCAGAAAAACTGACGATGCTAGCGTCTACTCCGATTGCGAATTGCAAAACAGAGGGGAGAAGGAATGTAGGAAGATTGGTAAGCGGCATCGCAGGTGGAAGACTCACAACGGCCGACCAGTTTTTCTTCCGATCCCAAAGGATTCGATCTGGCTACAGCCGCCTTGGCATTGCGAGACCTGGGATACCAATCGAAGACGATCCAGTCCCAGATCTCGGTACATGTAGCCTGCCGACGAAGAGCGGATCGATCGAAAGAAGATCAAGCAGATGAAGAGAGGGGAGAAGCGAAAGGTAATGACAATCCTGCGATTTCGACCAGGAACACGCCGAAGACGAAACCCTAGAACGCCGTTGAGATGTGGAGGGAGTAGGGGGAGAAGTGTTCTTTTTATCGGGGGGTGAGGGGTTCTCCGGTGCAGTGTCTCGCGGGTCTAACTCAAGTAAGTAGGAGTGGAACACTTTAAATAAAAGTTTACGAGTAAATGTTTAACGGGTGCAGTGTCTCGCGGATCGAATTTAATTTTTAACGTTTTTCAAATATTGACCCCAATATTTAGTTTACACCCAAATATGTTTATCATATATCAAAAATACCTTCAAGTGGTATTTTAGAAAAACCCCTTGTGACACCTCGATATTTAAAACGTAGCCCCGAGAGTTGGACTCTTTCTTTTTCATTTGTAACGATTTAAGGGTTTTTATGAAAATATCTCCATATAGCTTTGAAGATAACAAATTTCTCTCTCTCTCTCTCTCTACCCCACATACCAGTGAAATCGATTCCGTTTGTGAGCGAGAAATGGGCAGAAATCACATCGGATCCTGGCCGCCTCTCTCTCTCTATCTCTCTCTCTCTCCCTCTCTCTCGTATCAAAATAATCCACATATCCAAAAAGCATAACTTGCCCAATGTCTAATGGTCCTCCTCTCCCGGCATTCCACATTATTTTTCCAAGAACGGGCATCAAAATAAAGTCCAAAAACGTAAGCTTTAGGATTTAATTAGATCCGGCCCAAAAACCAGGCCGGCTGCTTCATAGCTGCAAACTTCTTTCTCTCTCTCTCTCTCTCTCTCTCTCTCTCTCTCTCTCTCTCTCCACACACTCGATGAAGACCAGGCAAAAAGACCAGAGAAGAAGGGCTGTAAGAGATGCTGTGTTCACTCCCCTGGAGTCTGCCAAGCAGGATCATCTGAAGCTTCTTCTGTCACGCCAACCTCAGCCGGCCGGAGAACCCGGTCGTAGAGCATGTACCCGGGCTGCAAGAATCCCCGTCAAATGATAATTAATCAAAGTTTCTCTTAAGTTTTTGCATCACAAGAGAAGAGATTCATGGCAGTTGACTTTTGAAAGTTTTGAAGCCAGACCATAACCGGTGTGAGCTTTGGGGTGGATCTGTTCCTGTATCTGGGTTTGACTTTAAGACTGAAGAAACGAAAATGGCTGCATCAGGCCACGTTTACGAGCTGGGTCTATTTTGTTTTTTGGTTTGACTTTAAGGTCAGAGCCTACACTTCTGTTTCTGCTGGCTTGTCCTACACTTCTGTTTCTGGTTTTGACTTTCAAGGGTAAAGCCCGGAAAATGGCCGTTCAAGCCAGGTTCACCCGGGGGGTTGACTTCTGTTTCAGGGTTTCGAGTCAAAGATCAAAGCCCAGAAAATGGCGGTATCAGTCCACGTTTAATGGACCTGGTCTGCTTCTCTTGCTGGCTTTGACTCTAAGATCAAAGCCTGGAAAGTAGGCTGCCTCAGGACAAATTTATGGGCTGGCGCTGTGTCTTTCTCTGGGTTTGACCTTAAGATCAAAGCCCCCAGAATAGGCTGCCTCCGGCCACATTTATGGGCTGGTCCTATTTTTATCTCCGGGTTTGACTTTAAGATCAAAGCCTGGCAAAACAGGTTACCTCAGACCAGATTTACGGTCTGGTCCTATTTCTATCTCTGGGTTTGACTTTAAGAGCAAAGCCCGGAAAATAGGCTGCCTCAGGCCACATTCACGGCCTGGCCTTATTTCTATCTCTGCGCTTGACTTCAGACCTACTGGGGGTTGACTACTACTATAAGCAGAGTGCCAGACAGACTGAAACAAGCTGACTGTGGAGGGACTGACCTTCAAGACGGCGCCCACTGTCCCTGGAGGCTTTGAATCATCTGGTATTTTAAAGACAGCAAGATGCCGGTGCGGATCAAAACGTTCATTAGAAGGATCAAATTTCTCCACACCATACTTCCTAAAAACCTGGAAAAAATACATTTTTTAAAAAAATGTCCAAGAGCATCCAAATTGGTAAGATAGACCCAAAATAAGGAAAAATTGCTATTTCTGCCGGAATTTCTAAGAATTTAGATAAGAACTTGCGATAATTTATGATATACCTCCATTAGTAGTTTCTCTGTCATCTCAACGCCCTCCAGGAGTGTCTTGAGAAGCTTCACAGCCCCAGCAGAATCCTTGGATGGATCCATCTTTGAGGAGCTTTCCTTAACAACTAATGATGCCCTTCCCAGATTGTCAGAGACATCTAGCAGGCTCTGTGCAAAATTCTGTGCTAAAAAATTGGAAGAGGATGATGAACAATCAGGCATACGATGGAAATGGACAACGATTGATTAGGCCATATATATGATCACATGATTGTATTATTTCAGCTATAAACAATATACGGCTATTCTCAACTGACTGAAATGGCAAGTATATATGAGAAAAACAAACCTGAATGGCAAACTTTTTGGAGTTTTCCGCCTCGCGTTTTGTTCTGTCGATCACATTCTCCATATCTGCATAGCTAAGAAGAACCTTTTCCTGCATTTTCTCAATCTCCTTGTGCTTCAGCTTCAGGAGCTCCTCCTTGTCTGCAACAAGCTTTGCTAGATCCTCAATGGCTAGCTCAGGCTCTGCGTCTGAATCAGAAAATGCAGTCCGTCTGAAGCTCCTCCTCCTCCTCTTCGGCGGGGGGGGGTGAGAATTTTTGGAGCTCTTATCTTCTGCTCGCCGGGGATTTTCAGTTGACTCATTGACTGGGTCAACGTGAGAAGAAGAGTTTGACAAAAGAGAGTCTTCTTCCTCCACGGTTCCTTTCTCATCAGAGGTACCATCTGCCTCTTTTTCATCAGGTTGTGGGTATGAGGACGAAGAAAAGCCAAATCTTTGTGGGCCAGAGCCTCCGAGTTTGAATAACTCAGTCATATGACACGGCACCTACGGGAAAAAAATAGAGAATATGTATCAATGGTTAATACATCGCCACGCTTCCATGAAAATTTGGCAGTACCAAGATATCATTGAGCATCCCAAGCAATGAAGTCATCCGAGGTTCTCCCAAATGGGAGACAACACCCCACTTCTCTATTGATCTGAGACCTTTTTTACTATGAAATGATGTAGAACGAGGCATCTGAATGCTAGGGTTCATCCTGGAAAACAGAAAATATTAATATTTTTGTGTAATTTATGGTCATCTTAGAGTAAGTAAGCAAGCTATCAAGTCTTGAGCCGGTGACTTAGTACTGGATCCTACTCCTGCATGTCCCCTCTACTCTTTTTTTGATCCTGCTGACTAATCATCAATGTTCCTTATCCTCTCCACATCATGATCTTCTTTCTCAGTTGCCCTTTGATTTATTCAGTCTCGAGCTATAAATCAATCTTCCTTCTCCCCACCTGGTATGATTCTTCGTCCTCCATCCTTTCCTTTTATAGACATGATATTGTATTCTTCTCAAGGGCCTCACTGAATCAAAGCCACAACCATACGAATCTCTGATTTACTGCGAAACCGAAGTAGTCGCAGAGCAATGCACAAGGAAATCGCATCGTCTCCGGTGTTATGGACATTCTACAAACTGCATCGAGGCACAAAAACTTTGGTAAATCCATCATTCTATCTAGCTTCGAGGGTTTTGGCAGCCTTCTATCCTTCGTTAGGGAAGATGACATGCGATCACAATTTGAGATATCTAATGAGTACAACGAAACGAAACGATGCATACGCAGGCGCGTACGCACACGGAGCTCCTACCTTGACTGACGGACTCGTTGTGGCGTGCATAAGCCGCAGTACGGGGCGACTGGAAGGCGAGAGCATCACAGCACGGGCGGCGCCGGCCGCGCCTTTTGAAAGCCTGCAAAGGATCCTCGCCGCCATCAGTCCGGAGCCCTCCCTGTCGGCAGCCTAGTTCGCCGGAGGAGAAAACTCAGACCTCTGAGAGAGCAATAAGACCCGATAGGAAAAAGATGGGGAGATCCGATTCACGCGACTTCGGATCCAGCATCGGAACAGTCTAATAGAAAGAAACCGAAACCCGTTATTTTCTCCCCAAGTTGAATTTCTGGGGAGTTTTATATAAATTAAAACTATTAAACAGTATTTTCAAATGTATAAATTACTTACGGGTTTATTCATAAAATACCCATGGTAGTAAAAAAAATCGGATATTACTGCAAGTAGAAAGTCCTGGACGCCTGGTGGGGTCTCTCTGTAAATCTGTCCACTTTGATCTTGCATCAGTTAATTACTTTAATTGCCGATGATGACATATTACCATCTTGCAGCTTTCATAAACCCATGGTACTAATCTTGCAGGGTAGGTGTTTAGTCCGGATTGCACATGTAAATGCCCATGCAAAAATGCAATCTTGCATGCATACAGAGTTCTATCATCATGCTTCGTTGAGCGTCTGCAGCTTGCCGAGGTTATCAATGGAAGACGGAGACCTGAGCTCCAAGTAGGTTGGTCAGATGGGACATGGCCCCGATCTCCTTCAGCTGTGCGCGCCCTCGATGTCGATCACCCTGAGAAGAGAAAGTTGCTCGGATTCCTGTGGACGGAGAGCCTCCGCGACGTCGCGGGCGTGGATCTGTGTTCGCCACGTCGAGGCGCTGGTCCGCACGCGATCTGCGCTGGGTGAAGCGGTCCCCAGCCAGCCCTCACGCGGCATCGTGCGAGCAGCCGGGGTCTGTCCTTGCAGAGGGACCCCTCTGCAACCCACAGTTGGACAGCTTGATGGCGTCGATCTCCATCCCTCTCTGCGCCAAGAACAGTGAGCAGATCCGGCGTATCCGCCCGTCGCAGCACAGAGCAACGGCTAAAAAGTTACCAGATCTGCAGCTTTTTTTCCATTCGGAGGCCGGGGAAAAAAGATTCGGCTTTTCGACCCATTTTGGGGAAAAAAAAGACCCAACTTTACTCTTTCTTGCCGACTAGGTTATATGTAGTCTAGAGGTCTACTATATGTCCACCGCCTCCATCGCCGGCTCCCACCCATCTCTTATCTCCTTCCTGTTGCGCCTCCGGGCGGCGGTAGCGCTGGTTCTCCTCCGCCGACTCCGAGGAAGCGAGCGGTGGAGCAGGGCGGCGATCCCGAGCCGCCTGCTCCCCTCGGCGATATGTAGTCTGGCCCGAGTTTCCCGGCGGGGCAGCATGGGCCCTGCTTCCGCCGGTGAGTATCATCGTCTTCCGCGTATCTCTGAGCCCTCTCCTTCCTCTTGCCCTTTTTCTTGCGCGGATCTATCAACCCAGCTGTCGACTCAGTTCAATAGTTGGGCCGCCGGCGTTGTTCAAGAGCGGCCAGTGCAAAGCTTTCAACGAAATTGAAATATTCACCGTTTTCTTCTCTCTGCGCTGTGGTGCTCCGGGAACGGGGTCGCGTTGGAGGAGGATCTATTCAAGAAGGGCGGAGAGCAGGCTAATCTATGTGAGATCCTACACCCACCCACACGAATCAGCTCTCCTCGGGTCGGCGAGGGTACAGCCTCTGATCTGCGGCCGAGTCATTTTCCCCCCATCCCCTTCCCCAACGTATCCGGATCCGGGGGACATCCCCTCGCCGCCGGAAAACACCGGATCCGGTGGGCAGAATTTATGAGAATCTCAGGGCTCCTTCTGCCATATATCATCGACGAACACCAGGTACTTGGCCTTCTTTAGGGAGACTCTGAGTTCCTGATCTCCTCTGCCTCCATCTTTATCCCCGGGACGCAGTTTAGGATGCCCCTCAGAGTGATCCATTGAAGTTCAATGGCCATGGATTTCTGGGTAACAGTGACTCAAACTCTGTAACCAAAATGGCCCTTGGCTGCATCGCTGCTATGCATCTTCTAGCCGATGGTGGTCTTTCCTATTCCTCTCAGTCCCAGTACGGATATGACTACGGGCTTACTTTTCTCATTCAATAGCAGCTCTCTCATGACGTTAAATCCTTCTCTATGATAGGATTTGCAAAGGTCGAGCGGTCCATGACAGAGCTATTGTTGAATGGGATTGACAAATTCGGAGTCATATTTCTGTTGGAAATGAGAGTAATAGGGAGAACCACCATCGTTTAGTAGATTTATAACAACGATGTAGTCAAGGATAATTTGAAGTACAGAGCTTGGGTCACTAGTAGCTAGAAATTCACAGCCAATGAACTTTTGTGGAGCATCTTAGACTGGATCCCAAGGGAGGAGATGGAAGAGGAGAAGATCAAGAAATTCACAGCCAATTGAAAGACACCGAGCTGCCGACGGCCTTGAGTATGCGCAAGGAGAAATCCACAGACTGTCCGCCCTACCAGCCTTTTCGGAGAAAAGGCTGTCTCTGAGCATGCGCAAGGAGAAATCCACAGAGTTCCCTTTCCTGGCGGTGAGGGGTGCCCCTCGGAGTTGGAGGTTGTGGGGAAGAAGATGGTGAGATGATGGCAGACGGCCTGCCCCTGGTGGTCCTCGTTCTTGGTGGTCTGCTGATCAAGAGGGAGAGGAAGAGGAAGAGGTACCACTGGGAGATCCTCAGCGGGTGTCACCCAGGAACTGAGCGCAGAGAGGGACGAGAGGATCAATTAGCTTGAGCTATGACGATCTCTTCAGCGATCAGAAGACGAGGGCTCAAGTTGGAAGAAACTGCACAGCGGCGCCTCGTCCAACTCGCAAACAGGTCTGTTTTTCAGGTGGTGGTGGGGTCGACAAACGCAGGATCAACGGTCTTCTCCTGGATCTTCATCGACATTCACAGGGGCCTCACCTACACCCACGCCGTGAGGTCGCGCAGGCTCGCCGTCCACTAGAAAGCGAGCGTTTGCCTCTCAAGCTCGAGCTGCTTAGCTCTGAACTTGTGCTGTCTGCTCTGCTTCAACCTGGGGGGCCAGGAGCTCGGTTCCTTGCGTTCTCTGGAGCTTCTCAAGGTGATCGACATCAAAGGTATGGTTCGTCGGACGAAATTGCGAATATACTTCTCCTTAGATCATCTGTATCCAAGATAGTGGTATTTTACATCAAGCTAGTAGAGATCCTATTGAAATTGAGTTAATGAAAAAAATGGGCCTTGCAGATTTGAGCAGAAGTGTTTACTCATAGTTGATAAGATAACGAATGATTTCATGTGCTTTGTACTTGATAGTAAATACTGACTGAGCCAACAAACTTCATTTCACATTTCATTCTCGTTGAAGAGCCTTCATTTCCTCATCGGAATGATTAGAGACAGAGCAAGAATCCTCGAACTTAACATAAAGTGGTAGTATAAAGGTGAAAGGCGGGGTGTCTTTTCGTTGCTACTTGGGAGAGACGCTTCACACCACCGGCGAGTGGGTGGAGGCGGCCTTGAAAGCCGCTCCAACCTGCGGCAGCTGACGATCATCGGCGTATCAGAAGCTCACGTCAGGCCGCTCTCGGGGGCCTTTCAGGGGAGGCTGAACCGCCTCGACTTGTTGCCTCGCAGTTGCAAGGAGCTAATGCTGCAGTACATGCCCGCGGCATTTACACAAAGGGCTGAGATAAACGGAGCTGGTTGGTTCAAGATACGGCATATCCCCTCCGTTAAAGTCTTGCCATACGCTTCTCCAATTAAATTTGGTCGGGTATGAACAATTCGGTTTGAAAAAAGGATGAAAGGAAGGAAAAATAGGCCTTTGGCAATAAGGAAAAGAGAGAAATAATAATGAAAAATTAGGCTCTTTGACCGTTGGAGTACAGAAAAATTAGAGGTAATGGTAATTATTAGGCTTTAGAACAACATCCTGAGTCATTATCAATGGGGTTTTCAAGGTAAAAGTTCAATGCCATATTATTTTATGAAAGTTTTGATTGAAGGTTTTTTATATAGCATCCTTTCAAGAAGATGGGAAGAGGGTGACTCTTAAATACTCTAATTTTCTTTTGTCTTTGAATCTTTGAGGTGGATGTAGAATCCAAAGAACATAGAAGATATTTCACACACGATTTTATGGTGATTATGTCACTTGACCTACTACTCCACTTTCAACTATTGCATATCTTCTTGCATCATTCAGTTCTATTAAATTTTTAGTGAGATATGATTAATTACATACTTCAATTAATTTTTATCAATTCTAGAGGAGCCTTGAATACTTATGCCCTCCAAAGACAATGAACAAGTTATGTTCTTGGCATTCAACTTCTAAGATTTTGGAGGCTTGAATCTTTGGATTTCTTGTTAAGGAAGCTTTGTCATGGAGGATACTTTAAAGGGTTTGAGTAATTCTTTCATGAATTAAGTGCTCAAAGACACATTAATTGTGCTTGGACTCCTTGGATGAATGTGGTGGGCTTGATACGTTTTTCAATATTTTTTTCTTCTTCTTTCGCTCTCACATTCAAGTGAGCGGAGGTGTTGTTATTTATAAAGAACTTATTAAGCCGGCTTTTATGGTGGAGACGTAATGGGCTGCCCAATGGTCACATTCAACCATTGCCAACGCCTGAAATTCAAACTTCATAAATACTTATTAATATTCCTTTAATTTCGATGTTACATTTGTTGTTGGACTGCATTCATCTTTAAATTATCTTTTCTATGTCTTGTCACGTGCTTATGTCTTGGCAATCAATTTTCATCTAACATCATTTTACTCATTAAAAACATAAAATATTGATTTTTTGCAATTAATTGAACTTATGAAATTGACTAATATCATAAAATTCAGAAGAAATAAAACCTATCAATTTTTATGTGCCATTTGTTTTAACTAACTGTGTTACACTTTCTAGTGAGTACTTACATAACTATATTTATCACACTATTTTTCTTCAAAAATGATTTTACCCATTTTGAACATAAATATTGATAGTGTTACCTTTAAATGAATTTCTCTTAATATTCAGAGCATCGTCAGTAATTTATCAATCATTAGTGATATGAGCCCAGAATT